AGACTTTGCGGTTTTTGCGTAGGGTAGGATATTATAGTTAAAAAATCTATCAAAAGAATTTCCTCGTAGGCGTGAAGCTGCCCAACGGATCTTATTCCGCACTTCATTCCTAGCCTCTTCAAGTGCTCCTTTAAAATCATAGTGGTAGACTATTGGAGCCATATTCTCAATACCCTCTGGTTTTTCACGCTGTCTAATTGCTTTCAAATACTCCAAAATATTTCCTTTAAATCTCTTGGGACTAATAGCAGGACTTTGACTGTATTGTGGATACACTCCCAATGACTGGTGATCAAAGGGGTTTACAAAAGCAGTATTACCATAAGGATTTGTACTCTTGAGCACGTTCATATGCATTTGTCTCCATCTTCCATCTTATCCCACTTCACCCCCGAAACCAAATCTTTTTCCTCCACTTGGAGATATACTTTCATTATCATCCCCAAGATCTTCATTTCCAGGCCTTTTCCAGGTACCAAAGTTACCACTCTCATCTGAGTAAACATAATTATCTGTTAATGCATCTCCTTCCAAAAATTGTGAAGTATGTGTATAGTCGCTTAATGCTGTTCCAGATATGGGATTATTATTCTTGTTGTTTGTATATTCCTTTCCTTCTCTTGGTGTGTGCTTGGACAGTGTTGCTGACGTCTTTTCATTCACCGCACCACCCCCAGTAATATGACGAGTGTTGGTTGATGGGATTGACTCGGCAGTTTTCTTTCCTACTCCTCTTTCTCCTAATGAGTTCACTTGTCGGGAAATGGATGCAACTCCACGTTGGCCATCTAGTGATTTCTCTGATTGTCCACGGTACAACAAAGGACGCCCAGGATCGCGTCGAGCTTCATCATGCTTATCCATCTCCCTATTTATTTCCTCTTTTCCTTCTTCTCCCATTTTTTTGTTTTTCTTCTTCTTTTTTTCTTTCGCTTCTACATCCTCGTTCTCATGTTTGTCGTGATCTTTAAGAATGGCTGCAGCTATTTGCTCTCTAGATGAGTTAACAATAATATCATAGAGTTGATTCTGTGCCCATTCCTCATCTGTTAAGCTAGATGAGGGACCTGGGAATTGCTGAAGAACAATACCTTGTTCCCTAAGTCGATCAAAAACAGTTTGTTGCACCATATCATTCACTACATCTGCTGCAATATGTGAGGCTATTGCTTTACTTTCTTCAGTAATAGAGTATTGTATTTTATCACTTTGCTCATGCAAAACATTAAAACCTTCTTGTAACATACGAAATAGTTCATTTATTTCACTCCGTATAGTATGATGATCATTTCTGAGTTTCACCATTTCATCTTTTACAACAAAAAGTCCTTGGCAATGCCGGCTGCCTAGTCGTGGTGCTGAGGTCCAGTACTTCGTATTGTCGGGGGAAGCCAAGAGCCAGCGATGTTTTTCTTTTGGAATACCAGTTGGCCCTTAGGCTACGGCGTTATAAAGCACCGGGACCAGCCGCGTTGTGTTGGGGCAGAAATAATATCCAAGAAGGTCCTGGGGCTGTGTCGACGTGCTATCCGCAGTATCACCCGCATCAGGTTGCGGCAGAGTGGTGATGTAGAGGAAAATCCCGGCCCTTCACTGCGAGGAATGCAGTGGAACTCATCTGGACTTACCCAGGCCAAGAGGCTTGTTCTCCACAAAACCCTTCTTGAGGAGAATGTGACATTCTGCCTTCTAAGCGAGACGAAACTATCTTGTGCGGAAGTGTCGAGTTTCACAATTGCTGGTTACCAACATCATGGAGCACCCCACCCCTCTAAAGGAGGCGGCGTTTTGATTCTTGTGCGTGAAGATCTGCCAGTAGAAGTAGGACTCACCGTAGTTGCAAGCGTTGGGCATGCCCATTGCAACGATCCACATATCAGAAGGTCTGGCGCTCACAGTAACGTCAGGATACTCTTTCCTCCGGAGAGATACCATACACAACATCGCAACTTGACAAGCTTTTGACGACAAGCGGACCTCACCCCATCGGTGCAGATGCTAATGCGCATGCAATGGCATGGGATTGCGCGATCCCCCCTGATACCCGTGGCGATGTGCTAGTACAATGGTGCCTAGATAATGACTGCGTTATTCACAACACTGGAGATTGCACTCGCCCCACACCACACGCCATGGCTCGTCCGCGCCAGATGTGACAATATCCCGAGAATGCCGTCTAGAGTCATGGACGGCATTCTTCTCCCTGAACAGCGATCATTACATCATCCTCTTCGACGTAGTAGTAGTAGATGATGATGAACCACTGCGGTTCCCTCGCCCTCGTGCACCCATTTATGCATGGAAGAAAGCGAAATGGTCTCGCTTTAGAGAAATGTCAAACGCACAGTGCAATAAACGCCTTAAAGAGAAACTGAACGTTCACATGAGAGAACGACTACTGACCTCCGCCATCCGTATCGCAACAGCCGCGGCGGTTCCACGCGGGGGTCAAGACACTACTCCTTTTTGGACTCCAGAATTAGATGAAATCGAAGAGAAGATTCACAATTGTAAACATTCTGTCTCTCGAGACAGACTGGTAGCTCGCAGAAGAGAAATGCTAAAACAAGCATCCCATAAGAGATGGAAAACCCTCTGTAATAACATGGCCGTGGCATACGGCTGCTGTTGAAACATTTTGAAGAGGATTTACGTCCCACGCCCCCCAGTACCCCGGCGATTAACAACACAGTACTCACGGAAAACGAGAAAGCCAAGCACTTTATCCGTTTATATTCACGAAGAGCTCAACGCCACCCACATTCCTACCCTCCACCGCCCATTCCAGTTACCGATACAGAATTCATCCCCATTACAGCAGCAGAACCGGAACGGGCACAGCGTTTCCTTCCCAAAGGGACGGCCGTAGGTCCAGATGGTATCTACGGCGAGGCACTCCAACACTTGGGACCCCGTGCCAAAGCAGAGACTCTTGCCCTCTTCAACGAGAGCCTCCGTACGGTCGTGGTTCCAGTCTCTTGGAAAGTAGGCATTATTGTACCACTCCTTAAACCCAGAAAGAAAGCCACAGATCTAGATTCGTTCAAACCTGTTACACTCACTAGCTGTCTGTCCAAATTAATGGAGCGGATCATTGCAGCACGAATTTGAGATGTCATTGAAACCAAACTGACCCCACAACAATCCGGTTTTAGACCTGTTCACTCGACGTTAGATCAACTATTGCATCTACGCGCAGCCCTCACACGACCCACCCCTGATTCGCGTACAGGTGCAGTATTTGTAGAGTACGCCAAAGCTTTCGATACTGTAGACCATGATCGTATAGTTGGTGTGATGCGAGAGATGGATATCCCACCGCACATCATTCGATGGCCAGCATCTTTCCTGAAAGGACGCCAAGCCAAAGTACGAGTAAACAGTAAATCCTCTCCTTTAATGCTTTTCCACTGCGGCGTGCCACAGGGAACAGTTCTCGGCCCACTTATGTTCATTATAGTAATGAACACCCTAAGCAAACGACTATCCCAAGTTCCCTTATTGTTTCATGGTTTTTCGCCGATGATCTCACACTAGCAGTACGACACGTCAACCGAGACATCATAAACAGTACACTGCAACAAGGACTAAACGTGGTGGAGGAATGGTCCAAGAACTATTTTATGGACATTAATGTGGGCAATACGAAATACACCCCTTTTGGAACCTCAGACCCGAATCCCCTTTCTCTTAAACTACGCGGTATCCCCGTAGGCCCGGAGAAGGCACCTAAACTCTTAGGCATCACCTTCCAAAACTACCGAGGCATGTCTACCCATGTGGTTCAAACAAGACAACGCATGAATTTTCGATTACTACAACTTGCAGCAATATCCTCCACCACATGGGGACCGACGCGTGACGTCCTCCGAGCCTTCTACCTGATACTAGTTCAAGCCCAGACACTCTACGGCTTTGAGGTCTGGTATTGGGATGCGGCTCCCACTTCACGCAAACTCCTCGATGCAGGACAGAACAAAGCTTGCCGAACCATAGCAGGTATCCCATATGGATGTCGCTCCGCCGACGCATTACGTGAAGCCCGTCTTCTCCCATTAGAGATGACGGCCATGATTCGGAGCCTCAAATATTTAATGCGATGCCAAACACGAGGTGGATCCCTCAAAGAAAGCGCAGAACAAGTCTATCACGAAACCCATCCAGTACGAGAATTCTATGAACGCATCATGAAAAACTATCCAACACTTGTTATAGAGCCACGGGAGCCCACCTCTACTAACACCAACGCTGCGGTTCGGTAAACGCGCTCGCTTCTTCACATCGCTGGAAAATGTATCAGCTGATGACCCAGAAGAACAGAAAAGAGAAGCATCCGAGCGTTGGATAGCCCGTCACTTCCACCGTAAAGGCACAGAACCGCCACTGCGTACCCATTATGAAATCTGGACTGATGGCTCCGTATTTCTCGGAGTAAAATCTGGAGCAGCAGCAATGATATACAAAAATGGTGAACTGCTCTGTACCACACATAGAGGCGCTGACTCCCTAGCTTGCAGCTACACAGCCGAATCCGTAGCGCTATACGAAGGTTTATACGGAGACTCCTCAAAATAATCCCCGCAAATAACCCAACGCCCTGCAGGGTCTTCATTTTCACGGACTCACTGTCTCTTCTCACGGCACTGGAAAAAGGTCCACTGACTGTAAAAGACCCAATACTACGACTCCTGTGGAACCTAATACTTCAAGTGCAACGTCGCAAGGCCCGCATACGATTACAATTTATCTTTGGTCACTGCGGTGTAGTGAAAAATGAGCAATGCGACACAGAAGCCAAAAAAGCTGCAGAACTACCACAAAGAACTGATACTTGGATCACAGATATAATGGCCTACGCCAAACGAATACTTAAAGGAGAGGATACACCCCATCCCTCCCATACATCAAAAATCACTGGATCCTGGGACCCCACCAAAGATAACCCGGAACTTACCAGAGAAGAAGAAACAGCCTTAGCACGTTTTGGCACAGGTGCTTCGCATCGCTATGGCTGGTTGCTGCGAAAGATACAAACCCATATTCCTCCTGGTTGTCGATGGTGTAATCCCCAAAAAGTCAGTACGTCGACACCCGTTATTCCACCTAGCCAGAAAAGACCGCGCTATGCACTAAACAAAGCAACAGACCCCGCCACCTGCACTTAATGCGGGGCGCAATACTCATGCAGGAACACCGCAGTAGTACATATGGTCAACAAACATGGTTTCAAGAGAGCCGATGCGCTCTGGAAGAATCAAATTCCCCCATGAGCCACCTCCGCCGGACATCCCGCCAGAACCTCCGCCACCTTCACAACCCCCACCTCCGGCCACAACGTTACTCCATCCCACTTCGCCCTAAAGCAAAACTCCATCCGTTTGCCTGCAGTATGTGTAAACGAACATTTCCGCTTCAAAATGGATTAACGCGACACCTTAGATACATGCGCAATGTCACATGCCCTGTCCCAGAGAGAAAACGCCCGCGAGCCGACGAACCGATTCCAGAAGAATCAGCATTCCCCTGTGACAAATGTGATATGATAGCGCGCTCTAAAACAGGCCTCAAAGCCCATATTAGAGCAAAACATCCTGAGAACCCCAAAAATATGCACCTCGCCCCCAGCTCATCCCACAGCCTGCTTCACTACGCTGCGAATTCTGTCTACGCGATTTCGGCAACATCGGTGGTCTCTCATGCCACAAAAAGTTTAAACATCCACCTGGAACCCCAATTTTGCCAGCAACAATACAAGTGACGTTTCCGTGAAGTAAGAAACGCCAACGAAACTCGTCGCCACCGGAGCGTGAGGACAGAGAAAAAGTCCAATGCAGAGTCTGCCAGAAGTTCTACGCCCACCTAGACTCCCTCGTAATACACTGCAGAAAATTCCATGAAGGACAGGGTCTGCCCAAAAAATCGAGTTCCACCAATGGGAAATACAAAACAACGAAAACAAGAGACCTTCCGGCATCAGTCTGCCACCCATGCGGCTGTCAGCGTGTATGAGTAAATGAGGCCTAACTGTACACCGAATGTCACGTCACAGGTGTCATCCTATTCGCACGCACACCAGCCAACGCGACGAATGCGAAGAAACAGCTCTTCATCTCTTGAGTTGCCCCGCTCTTCATCCACTGCGAGTTCAATTTGCGATGGTTGATGATATACCCCTGATGAAACTATGTTTTTCTAAGCTGTTAGCACAGTTCCTTATTGCGGTGGAGCGGAACTACGCTATGCCACAGACTTCACCACCAAGAATCCCTACGCAACTTACCTACCTCTCTGTAAGATCTCTAAAATCAGCGACGAGCACGAATATGGAAACCCTGATAGAAGAGTACGCTCAAGGCCCCTGCCACCGACCAATACAAGCAACAAAATAAATAGGAGTTCATTGAGGCCAATCTATTATAAAAAAACAAAAATAACAAAAATTAATAACAAAAGGAGACTTGAGGATGGGTTTTGGGTAAAAAAAGTGAGAGTAGAGAGACCTGGTAGGGTTTACTCGATCAGATTTCTCTTAGACTGGTTCTCTCGTATGGGAACGGACTACAACAAAAAAATCATATTACAAGAGCTTGAGGATCCTATAAAATGAAGGGATCTTCTTCTTCTTTGGAGCCACTCGCAAGTCGGTAATTAAATTGCTCTACGGCGGTCGGTTGATAGCCGTACCATTGGAGTAATATCCATAAAGCCACGAAGAACAGAAAGAAAAACGTGGTGGTGTGGTTTGTGGGGTCCTTTTTGGGTGGGGGGATATGTTTGATCGTACCCTCCTAATACACAATATGGAGCAAGGTATGTGTGTGTGTTTTGATGTTTTTTTTGTTTTGCTGATAATATTGTTGGGAGAAGAAGAGATGAACCGGCATTCTGAGAGAAAAAATAAAATAATAGTAATAAGGATAAATAAAGAGGTAATATGTGTGTGAGAGGGTAATTGTGTGTTGATTCTGTTTGTAAAGAGTGGCATGGTATTACAGTGATGTATGCAGTCATTTTTGTTATGGTTGTGGGTGAGTGGGTTTTAGATTCCAATTGTGGTGTTGTTATAAATATTATGGTGATGCATTGCTTTCTTTTCTTTTTCTGTTTGGAAGTGTGTTGGTTATTGTGTACTCTCTTTGTTTTGCTGATGATTTGTGGTATTGTTTTTGTATGTTGCCAGGCGTGTACACTGTGTTTTTGGTGTATTTTGGTGTCCAAACTGCCTGGTAATGATTTTATTATAATGAGAATACAGACACTTTGTGTGTACGAATACCGAGTAAGATATTGGAGTGTGTGTGTGTAGAGACGTTTATTTAATATTGTTTTTGATACCATTTGTTTTACACTTCTTCTAAATTCAGGGTGTTGTTTCAATATCTGTGTAACTCTGGGTGTGTTTTATTGTGTGTGAGTGGTTTACTGTTGTTCCCCTCATTGGGTTGTGTTGTTTGATTGCTGTTGTGATGTGTATTCTCTCTTTCTGTGTTGCTGTGTACTGTCTACCTCGTGTGTTAAATGTGTGTCTATTTTCTCCTCTTCTTCCTTGTTACCACAGATCCAAGCAACCCACAGTGATAATCATGACAACGGTGTTCATCCAAATGCGTGGTGTGGTGTACCTGTTGGTACTTCTGCAATGTTGTGTCTGTGTGGTATATGCGAATACTGAAGGGGATCGCAAACGATTTTTGAACGCACAGACTTTGATGCAACTGGCGGTAAGGGATGCGGAAAAATATGTTCCGGAGGTGGAGGCGTGCCTGCGTTTGTGGAAGACCGCATTGCCGAAGTGTGTGGAGAAATGCGAGCAAATCAAAAAACTCAGAGGTGAGATCAGGGGTCTTGTCGAAGGGATCAAGGGCAAGCTACTAAAGCCAGAGGAAGTGGTGCCCAAAGGCACGCACGACGAAACGTTGGTTGACCTGGTTGACCGGGCCAAGAAAATGATACCGGTGGCCGGTGAAGCCGCTCGCGGCTGTAGTGTACCGGTTAACGAGACCAGGGTGAGACAAAGGCTGTGTGGGGTTTACCAGGATAATTTGGCCCCCGTGGTGGAGGGGTTTCCGGCCCGTTTGCAAAACTACGAGGGCGAGAAGTCGTATGCTCCCAATGTCGCGGAGGCCGAGAAATATCTCGGTGCCAGTTATGAGTTGTATTACAGGGCAACCAACGTCACATCTGATATCAAGAGACAAATCGGGAACATTCGTCAGTGTGGGGCGTTCCGGGACGGCGATTGGAGGGAAGTGAGGGCAGACGCGGCGGAACTGGTTAGGTTGCTCAAGGACTACGGCGGGGAAGAACTCGGAAAAGCGCAAGAGACTGAGTGGGGCAAACTTGCGGGTGAGAAGGAAAAAAAGAGAATCGATCAGATGAACCAAGACAAAGAAAAAAAGGATATGTCCGTTGTGAAAGGGGAGTTCGTGCAGACCGAGAACGAGAGTGGATTCGTGTTGAACGACACTGCACGGTATGTGGGCAAAGGGAATCCGACGTTCGTCGTGAATAGAACGAGAGAAATGCAAGAGGATATCCGGAAATTTAAGAGGGATTTGGCGGAAGCAAAGGTAGAGGTGGAGTTTGAGAGAAGATTAGCTGCGGAAAAGGCTCGGAAAGAAAGGGAAGAGCAGGAAAAAGCAAGAAGGGCCAAAGAGGAACAGGATAGAAGGGAAAGAGAGGAGCGGGAACGAGCGAAGAGGGCCAGGGGAGAACATGAGAAAAAAGCCAGAGAGGAACGGGAGAGAAGGGAGAGGGAAGAAAAGGAGAGAAGGGACGCTGAAGAGAGGGCGAGACTGGTTAAAGAAGAGCAGGAGAAAATGGCGAGGGAAGATGCGGAGAAGTCGGTCAGGGAGCAGGTCAAGAAAAGGAAAGACGGCACCGGCAGTCCTGCATTGGTGCACAGTTCCTTGATTCTTCTTGTCCTGTCTGTGTTGGGTTGCACTCTCGTGTGCTGATCGGTGTTCCCATGACACAGTTGAACAGTTAACCCTTGTTTGAGTGGATATGGATGCATTGTAGGGCACTGTTCTTTTTATTGAATTTTAATGTTTCTTTATACTCTTCCAGCACGATAAGTCTTTTGTTTGCATTTTTTTACTGAACAAATCTATTGGATTCCATGTGGCACTCATCACATGACAAACCATCATTTTGTGAGGGGAGTGTCCTCTTTGTTTGTTTGTTGGCATTATTATCTGGGCTCTGTTTTGCCGCCGTTCACTGTGTCCTCCTGGTGATGTGTGTGTGTGTGTGTCGCGTGATATTACTAACTATTGCTTTTACTTATGGGAATGAGATACAATCCCGATGTGTTTTAATTGCTGTGATTGAAATGTGAAGAATGGCAGGAGGTTCAAGACACACAAACACACACACTACCAACCTTCCTTCTCTTTGTGTGTGTGGACTGTCATCATGTGTGCAACATTCCCACTGCTCGCCCTGTACGAAAGACACACACACCTACTGTTGAGAATTGTGTTCTTGCCTCCTGAAGATATTCACATGGTAATCACGGCTTCCTTTTCCTTTTCATTTTCATTTTAATGTTTTTCTGTTGTGTGTGTGTGTGTTTCATTATAATTTCATTGCACATTATGTGCAGCTGTGTGTTTCTCTTTTGCGTTTCCGATACACCTTGTGTATCTTGTGTGTTCATTTTTATGGAATAATAATTTGCTTTCATTAATATGCAAACTGTTGCACGGACATCAAGAATAAAGATATGGGAGCGGCACGTTCAGTACACAATGATTTTCCGCTGTTCACCTTGGGGTGGATTGGACTGTGTCCAGGCATCGCAGCCACATTAAGTAATGAATTTCTTTTTTTTACATTTTCGCACTTTTTATTGTGTCTGCCTCACGCAGTCACTCTTTTTTTACGTTTTTATTTTGGTATAAATATTGGTGGGTTGTAGGTGTTTGGGTGTGCCCCCCTGTTGTGTGTTCCTTCGTGTGTTTGGGTTGCTACTCGCACCGCCCACGTAATATGAACACATTTCTTTGTTCTCACCTTCTCTCTCTCGGTGGTATTACTCAAACGATATTTCCATGAGCATATTTCTGCCCTTGTGGTGTGTGTTGTGTGTGGCTTGCTTGAGTGACTGCAACCTGCGGGGAGATGGACTGAGACTGTTCCGCTTCGGCTTCACGTAATGGGTCTGTTTTTTTTGTTTTTGGGGTTGAGTTGATGTGCTGGTGTGGGTGAATGTTTTTCTCTGATGGGAGTGGCACCTGTGATTATTGTATTGTGAGTGCTTTGTGTGTTGTTGGTATCCTGTTGTTGATCCTTTCTTGTGTTTTTCTTTTCCTCTCTCTAGGTGTGTGTCTCCGTGTACATTTTAGGGAATGCCGTGGTGCCTTTCTGACATGAGCATGTGAGACTGTCATTGTGTGTGTGTGCACTGTGAGTGGGAAGGACACTTTGTGTTGCTGGACCACTCCATTGAGGCCTCTGTGGGGTGTAATGAATGACGGCGTGGTGATATCCATCGAGATGTGTGTGAGCGACTGGAGTGGAGGTGTGGCTCCTTTACGCTAGTCCACTGCCCTGCGGTGCGATTGGGGCCACGTACATGAATGGATTAATGAGATTCCCTCTGTCCCGAGTTACTATCTAGCGAAACGACAGTCAAGGGAACGGATTTGAAGGGGTAAGCGGGGATAGAAAAGGCCCCGTTGAGTTCGACTCCAGTCTGGCTCTGGACTGGCTGGTCGGTGGCATGTACTTGGTACTGTCATCACTTTATAATTTGGTTTACATAATTTGTATATGTGTACTGATGTGAGATTGTGAAGGGATCTCGCAGGTATCGTGAGGGAAGTATGGGGTAGTACGAGAGGAACTCCCATGCCGTGCCTCTGGTTTCTGGAGTTTGTCGAACGGCAAGTGCTCCGACGCTATCGCACGGTGGTTCTCGGCTGAACGCCTCTAAGCCAGAAGCCAATCCCAAGACCAGATGCCCATTTTATATCACTGTATATAACCAAAACTATGTGTACGTTGGCAGCTAACTCGTATGGTATGCGCGTGCGTGACTGTCTTAGGGAAAAGTAGACCTCCGTGGTCGCGGCTTTTCAGGACAAGACGGGCTACACCAAATCTAGGATGTGTTTGGCTTCTGCGTTTTTCGTTACAGCCTTCGCGGTCCTCTCCTATCCGGGAGCTTGAGGAAGTTTTCTTACTGTTT